ATGTGCGGCTAAAGGTTTAAACTTATCCACAATTCTCGTAACACTGCACACATCCAATACCATCAAAGCCTAACCTTCAACATATAGAACATGACATTTACTGCATCCAGTGTTATCAATATATGTAAACCCGAACAATGAACGTCTCTTATTTGTTCCCTTCTAGTCTGCTAAATATATCATTCAAAGCACTTCTCTGTTCCATGAGTGTGAAAAAACACTGGTTAATCATATCACAAATTTAGAGCTGTCCTGTCTCCTTTGTTATCTCAGAGAGAAAATAATTAGCCCTCCCAGTTCTTATGCTGGGACTACAAAATGATGAGCATTTATGTTGTGGAGATGGTAGAGGTAGGTGGGTCTGAGTAGTTCAGTTCCACTCAGCCCACATCTGCACTTGGAGCTCAGCTGAATGCTTTTCTGGCAGAGCTGAAGGTGTTTTATCGGTATGTGTCAGCTCTTTAAAAACTTACAACATGGTGAAATGTGCATGGATTGCAGAGATGTGCTGCATATGTTTTAGTTTTTTTTATTTTGCCGTGACACAAACTTTAACCCCTTCGTGACTGACGACGTACAGTGTACGTCGCCAGCATCGGGGCTGTTTAAACAGACTCCCGGCGACTTTTGCCGCCGGGACTCTGTTTAAACTTAGCTTGTAAGAATCTCCCAGTTGGAGAATGCTTCTTCCCAGCTGTCAGAAGGATAATTGTTTACAAGGCAGAGCACATCTGTGCAACATCATTCACATTGAAATATCTGCCCTGGAAATGACAGCAATTCTGGGAGTCATGCAATGGCAGGTTCCATGTTAGCCGGTTGTCCTGGCAGAATAAGATTGTCCCCTTTGTTGGGTAAAATTTGCAATGAGCTGTGCTCTGGTAGTCCTGGCCAATAAACAGGGTAACCCAAAGAATGGACAAACTACAATCATTCATAAGTCATAGCAACCAACCACATTACCAAACCAAGCTAATGGCAAGATGAAATGGGACTGACTGCTAGACTATAGATTTGTCTATCATATACCAATCAAAAATCGGATTTTTAAATAATGGAATGACAGGGCCCATTTCATCATCAAGCTAAAAAGTTGTCTACAAGGAAAGGGACCCGTGTGTATATACACTGAGTGGCCAGATTATTATGACCACCCCATCAGTACTTCGTTGGGCCACGAGATAACTCCACAAGATGACTTCGTTGGGCCGCCTCGTGACTCCACGAGATGTTGAAAGGTGATGCGAGGAATCTGACACTGCACTGTTGCCCTTCTGTTGTCTTGTACCAGTCTTGCCTCTCTCCGTTTCTGCCCTAACATTGACTAGTCGCTGACGGCCACAATTCGCATGTTCAGACCCAGATTTTCGGCTGACAGTCCAGTCTTTAAACACTTTAAGAACAGCTGCTCTTGAACATTTAACAAATTCTGCTGTTTTGCTGATACTCGCTCCATGGCTTGAGCGCCAACAATCATCCCACGTTCAGAGGCTGTTAAATCGCATTGTTTACCCATATCTTCAGGAAAAAAATCACTTCTACTGTCGTGGTAAACAACCTGCTTCCTTATTTATAATGGTCTGGCCCTCTAGTAACTTCCGCGCAAAATTATAGCTAATTTCCCTACAAATGTCAGGTGGTCATAATAATCTGGCCACTCAGTGTATATCTATATATAGAGAGATATACCTATCTCTCTATATATAGATATACAATTTTTTTAACTGATGCTCTGACCATGTAGGACGACTAGAAAACCCTGACTTTCAAAAAATGAAAGCTGCCTCTTACGTGGATCAGTTTTTGCCACTCTCTTTAGGAATTTTCTAAAAATAAATCTGCGCAGGATTTATAAAAGTACGCCACCTAAATTTATGATTAACCTGGAAAAAACATGGAGGCTGCCATTTCTGAGCTATCTGACAGTTACTAACCCTCTTGCTCAATGCTTGGGTCACTTACCCAGAAGAAGTATGCAGATGAAGACTTCTGACATTTCTCTGACCTGCACACTTGTTCTAGGTTGGCAACCCACAGTACTGAAGCCACTGGGTTAGCAATGGCAGCGCCTGCATTTTCCTCATTCTTTTTACTTTAAAAGAAGTAACCTCTTATGACCACCCTCATGCCCTCGTTTTGCTGGACATTGTCACTTTTAGTAAGTATTCCTTGAAAGCTTCCTGCAACCCGGCAGAATGCTGTACATAGTTTCCTAAAAACAGGAAGCTTTGGCAAGGCCCACATGTCATCTTGAACCTCCATGACAGAAAGATGCGAAATCCAATGAAGGAGTGGGTCAGAGACAGTAAGGATGGAGTGGAAAGAATTTAATGATGCTGCACATACTCAAGGTGTGGGCTCTATCTGACTTGGCTCCAGAATTCAGCTTTAAAAAGTGTTTTTTTCATTATTATACAGGATTTATAAAGCGCCAACAGTTTGCACAGCGCTTTACAATATAAGGAAGACATTACAATCACAATACAAATCAAGACAAGATGGTAAGGAGGGCCCTGCCCGTGAGGGCTTACAATCTAAAAGGGAGGGGCAAGTGATACATGAGGAGGTAGCTGTGTGGGGATGAACTATTTGAGAACGTGACGGTTCAGTGGTTAGGTTGAGGTGGGATATTAAAAATAAAAATGTACAAAAGGCAGGCTTGTACTGCAGAAGAGACATGGAAGTGCCATGGGGGAGTCTTACCTGCCTGTTCATCTTAACAATATACAATTGGGGGGACTTTATCAAAACGGGAGCAGACAAAATCTGGAGCAGCTGTGCCTGGCAACCAATAAGCTTCTCTCTTCAGTTTGTTCAGTTAAGATTTGAAAATGAAAGATATAAGCTGATTGGTTGCCATGCACAGCTGCTCCAGTTTTGATAAATTCCCTTCAATGACTTGCACATGTGCAGCGCAGTGTACGATTCTGGCATCTGCCACGGATGAGCAGGAGTTATGTCACTCTGGCACAGCCAAGCAAGATGGTTGAAGATCCTGATCCCAGCAGAACATGGGGAGAAGATGTCGGTACCCTTGCAGGACTTCATGCACTTTGCATCGCTGAGGGGTAGGCGACTAGTCCCACTTAACTCCAGACCTGCTGATAAAATCTTTACTGTGCGCTCCTGCCGAGCACCACACAGCCTTTGCAGAAAGTCCAGGCCCCATCCTGTGCCAACCACATAACCACACATCACTTATTCCTGTGGCTGCCATGAGTCCAGAAAAGGCTACGTGGCGCCGTGCAGATCTCCGGAGCGAGAATGAAGATGTGCACGACACCGGGGAATGGCGGGTTGGTGGCCGCTTACATGAATGTAGCAGCATTAATAAGTGAATTTAGTAAATGTGGCTACAGACCCAAGATCGCAGATCATTGCACCTTCAATGTGCGAGGAGGTCAGGCTGGCACTCTCAGAAGTGTCCGTTTCCCACCCCAGCAGAAGATTTCTACTAATCATGCAGCATACTGCGGTGCAAGCATACGGTAAGTATAACTTTCCTTATTTGGCAATACAAAGAATGCACTAGACCGGGGTAGGCAACCTTGGCACTCCAAACTACAAATCCCATTATGCCTCTGCGAGCCATGCCTGTGGCTGTCAGAGTCCTGCAATGCGTCATGGGAGTTATAGTTCCAATCTTTCCTAACCATGCTCTAGACGTCCCATTATGCATCAGCCATGGATGCACCTGAAGAGCTACACAATCTGTACAAAGAAAAACAGGCCGCATTGCAGTGCTGTCCCTCACAAGCAACTTTACTCCACAAGACACACTGCAGTCCCCACAACTGATGCATTTCACCCATAAAAGCTTAACCGTAGGGATGACCATATTCACACCATATTCCGGACCAGATCAGGTGGTGTGAATGGGCCCAAAGGCCTATAGGTGAAATGCGTCAGTAGGGTATTGATTGGTGGGGACTGCAGTGTGCGCTCCAGCTTTGGTGGAATGAAGTTACTTCTGAGCGACATCACCGGCAGTGCGACCCTTTTCTGATTTTGCCGTTAAAACTTATTTCTAAAAGTTGGAAGTCATGAGAGAGTTGTTGACTGGGACATGTGCGATGAAAGAGATTACCGCTCTCCCTATTTGCTGCAGCAAGAGAACCTGTTCAGTCATCTGTAGAGCAGAGCCCGCACAGCAGTGCACACGTCACCCATACAGAAAGGCTGCACGCTGCAGTGGGACGCTTGGCAGGTGTATTTACTTTTTGCTCAGCATGTCCTATGTGAGGCTTTTGTAAAGCAGATTCCATCTTTCTGACCACGATTCATGTTCCTCCCCTATGAAGGGTATAACCTGACCACATAAACTACCTGAATGAAGGGGTTCTTCTCCCCCTATTCTATTGTTTACATTTGCCATGGCTATACATAGCTCCACCTGCACAGCTTAGCCATATATTCACAGGGATCAGTGATTGGAGAGACTACATGTCCCATCTGCCACCTCATTAGAGAGACTCGATCAATAAGGCGCACAAGATTGGTGACATCGCTTGTAGTCCATTGATCACTTCCTCTGGCCATAATGTTGGTCTGTACCTGCAACTGGACAAATAGTCTCCATGATGCACTGATTGCGGTTGCAATGCTCTGAATGCCAATATGTTACAATTGCAGATTATTTTAGCATTCATGTGATGACAAGACATTATTTTGAAGGGTGGACTATGCCTTGAAGTGAAGAGGCCCTGTGAGTGTGTCTTGTACACAAGTTTGATGGAAGAAGACAAACAGCCAGAATATACACAGAAATCTCCGCTGAGCTCCATACAATGTCCTGTGAAGTGATGCTGCACCCACACACACTGACAAGGGTCACCCAACACTCACAGCTCCATTCCCCAGAGAGCTAAGTCCTCCATGACAGGCCACGTCTCCCCTCCAGCCCACCAAAGCCGCTCCCCCTTCTTCCCGCCTCGCTGACTCTACCCTCCCGCCCCAGGCAGGCCGTGCACCGGCTCCGTGAAGCCGGCGACCACACTTACCCATCTGTTCCCGCAGCTCCTTCAGCTTGCCGCTACCGTCCGCCATCTTCCCCTCCCCCGGTATTGCCGCTCTCTCTATCCGCCCTGGGCTGCGCATGCGCCGGCCGCAATCACGCGCAGCTCCTGTTGCTGCTGCAGTTGCTAAGGAGGACTGTGATTGGGGTTAACCCCTTCCCTCCCGAGCTGTCATTGCACAGAGGACCCGTGTCCCTGCACACGTGACCTGAGCTGCTTTCCGACACTGAGTCAGGGACACAAAACAAGTATGCAGAACAAGGATTCTTCCTTCACTGGCTGCATACTTGTTCCCGACCAGTAAAACTATAAAAGTCAGAAGATCTGCATGTCTGTCATGCAACAGTATTTCCAGTAGGTCATCAATGACAGCATGACAGGGAAAGGCAACCTTGGCACCCCAGCTGTGCTAAAACTACCAGTACCATCATGCCTGAGGTTGTCAGTCTTGCAATGCCTCATGGGACTTGTAGTTCCACAACAGCTGGATTGCTGAGGTTGCCAACCCCTGGTTAGGCCCCATGTACATGGGCCTCCTGTTTTAAACATAGGAGAGTTATCTAGGAAGTATAAACAACGTTTATGCTTGCCTAATCACTTTGTTCCTGTATTTAGATGTTCCTGTGTTTAGCTGCTTTTATATGCTTGTTTGTGTGACTGCAGCTAGACTTGTAGACGCTGCTGAACATCTTGATGTGCATTGAGCCATAGCATAGTGACAAACACACCTGGACACATGTATTTGAATTTCCGTGTGCATGGGGCTTTACAATGTCACCCTTATATACTGCATGGGGTCTGCTTATAAACAATTTGCAGAGCCCTTCTCTCTTGTGAATCTCCGTGAACGTTTGTTCTGTGTGAATAGAGGCAAAAACAAACGTTCTTAGTATATATACTTTCAGGTCAAATGTAATACCGCATTATGGCCACTAGAAGGAGCAGAGGAGAATAGGAAATAACTAAGTACTTCTTTCCTATGCTACTCAGCGCCATCTAGTGCCATAATGCAGTATTACATTACACTACATTTGACCTGAAAGAAAATATAATAAGGTTCTTTTTTGCCTCTATTCACACAGAACAAACACTCTCAGAGATTCACACAACAAATGGCTCTGCAAATCGCCTATAAGAAAAATATGGCTCAATTTAAAAACAATTTGCAGAGCCATTTGCTGTGTGAATCTGAGAGTGTTTGTTCTGTGTGAATAGAGGCAAAAAAGAACCTTATTATATTTTCTTTCAGGTCAAATCAAGTGTAAAGTAATCAAGGGTCTGGTAGGAAGTTTAGGGGGGGACCCCACGTTCTTTTTTCCTAAAGGACCTGGTATGACGTTTAGGGGAAACCCATACACATTTTTTTTTTAACTGCGGGGGGTCCCTCTTAACTTTCCCACCAGACCTAAAGGATTGGGAGGGGGACCCAACACTTTTTTTTTTCCTTGGTTTATATTTTATTTTTCATTTTTAATCATTATTTTGTCAATTTATAATTATTTTTGGGGCAGGGCATTTTCCAAGCAATTTTGCAAAAACGCCTTGCAAATGCTTGGCTAATGCCTTGCTAACGCTATAGGCGGGTTAATAAGCGTTGATCGTGCGGTACATTCTCAGCGCACGTGTGAAAGAGCCCTAATAGGGGGTTGCAATGTGCTTAGTTGTGGATGTGGCTTATCCAAAGTGTGCATGATACTACATGACACAACTTGGGCACTAAGGTAGCTTACAAATCCTTAGCCCCCATTCACACTGAGCGACATGAAAATCGCGCGATTTTGAGCGATATGGAGCGACTTATCACGCAACTTTTTCCTATTGGGCTGTATGCAATCAGGAGCAATATCGCTCGAAATCGCTCGAAAAAAGGGTCATGTAGGAGCGACAGGCTACAAGCGATATTGAGCGACGAGATGTGAACAGCTCCATTGAAATGGATTGGAGAAGCTACATAGAGCGATATGGCGTGGAAATATGAGCGATATCGCTGCAAAAATCGCGCGATAAATCGATCAGTGTGAACGGGCCTTCTTTTGCAAAAATACACATTTTATTCTGCAATTTTCCTCGTTTATAAAATGACAGTTATATGTCTGTTGCAAAGCAAGCTAAACTTATTTACAAATAAATAAAGCTTTAAATATTTTTGCTTATTTACATTTCTTTTTTTTTCACTAAAGGAGAAAGGTTAAGGCTTTTCCCCATAGTTCTCTTTAGGGTAACGGGAGGACACAAACTAGCGTCCTACCGTCACCCTAGGCTCGGTATACCGCGAGCTGTAATTCGCGGTATACTGAGACGCCGCAGTATACTAAGACGCCGCAGCTGAAGCGGATTCCGACAATTATGTCTGGATCCGCCCAGCTGCGTGACTGACAGCTGGCTCTGCCTATTTAGAGGCAGAGCCAGCTGTACCCGCCCCCTCCTCCGTCCATTCTGCCAGTCATCGCTGGTGGATCAGAGCGGGGAGGGGGGAATCCAGCCCTCCAGATCGAGAGGTGAGCGAACGCCGGTATGTGTTCGCTCACCTCCCGATCTACTGAGCTGACCTGTGACAGTTTCATTGTCACAGGTCGGCTAGAACTATGAGGTGAGTGAAAAGCACTCACTTCATAGTTCTCCTTAATGAGGGTATTTATAAAAAAATTTTCCAGAGCCAGTTATCGTTAGGAAAATACCCCATTTTGGCCAGTAGATGGACCCGAGGAGCATAGAAAATTATTATGTCCTATGTACAATGTAATATCAGGAAAATACCCCATTATGGCTACTAGATGGAGCGAAAGAGCATATGAAATAATGTTTTCCTGTGTCATATAATATCAGGAAAATAGCCCATTATGGCTACTAGATGGAGCGAAAGAGCATATGAAATAATGTTTTCCTGTGTCATATAATATCAGGAAAATACCCCATTATGGCCATTAGATAGAGCTGAGGAGATAATTATTTGCTATGTGTAATGTACTCTCAGGAAAATACCCCATTTTGGCCCCTAGATGGAGCTGAGGAGCACAGAAAATTATTATTTCCTACGTACAATCTAATATCAGGAAAATACCCCAGTGTGACCACTAGATGGAGCCGAGGAGCATAGCAAATAAGTCCTCAGCTCCATCTAGTAGCAATAATGTGGTATTTTCCTAAAATACCATTCAATTGGAAAGAAAATTTACTAATACATTAGCTATTCACACAAAAAGAATGCACATGGAATTTCACAGGACAAATAGCTCCTATAAATACATCCCCAAGTTTTCTTGCTGTGAAATAAAAACATGCAAAATTATAAGGAGCCCCTTTCTTTTACACAAGAACAGGCCCTATCCTGTGTCCAGGGACAATCATCTGTCAGAAACAGCATGTTATTGTATCATGTATGATTACATGCGGACTGCTGCTGACAGATGCGGCCGCTGTTACCCTGTCGTTTACTATCATGGGTACAGCAGCTGCATCTGAATGGGGACACCTGATATTATTGCCACAGGAATCTGTAGGTTCTTATGGCAGGAATCCTTAGATGAGCATAAGCCCTGTGTGAATGGGGCCTTAATCTGAAAGTTTAGGTTTACTTTAAACAATTAAGGGGGTCTTAGAAAAAGTGTTGGGGGTACTTGGGGGTGCTTGAGTCCTGAGTGGGCAAAGTACAGGTCCTCTTTAAATATGTCCAAATGCTTTCTAAAAAAACGTGTATACATACCCTGAAGAGCTATGTTAGGTCTGTTTGACTTTTAATGTCCAGTTTTATGCAGCAAGCGTGTTTCCATGTCCTGTTTTATAGTGTCAAGTATATAAAGCATTGCAAAAGTACATTACAAACCCTAAAAGTAGGAACGTCAATGCTATGCTAGGCACAACAAAGTGTTCATAACGCTGTTCAGTTTCCATGGAGTATAATAGGGAAGGTGTGTAAAACTCTGCAAACAAAATTAAACTGTAGGTCCAGTAAAACCTCTTTTTATAACTGTATTGGATATTGGAGTGGGGAAGGACATAGTGACGACGATTTCACCAGACGGGAAATGAGGGAGAATCTGAAACGGGGTAACGGCAGCCATACAAAGCAGACAGAGATTCTAGCCTAAACTTTGGTTGGGTAACGCATGTTGTGTGCATTGCAATGCACTAAGACAATGCACCTGCACTGCCTGGTAGTGTGTTGCAATCCCAAGGGTCAGGTGAGGTCTTTGCCACTATTAGGTGTGTTGGCAGCCCATTTAAAATTAATCTGTTCTGAATATACTAAAATAAATCATTTTTTTATTTCTGTCTATGTTGGAGATTTTTCCTTCCTTCCAGTCTGGTAAAACCATTGTCACCGGCACATTAAGTGAGGGGTAATCTTTCTAATGAAGCTGCGGATAGCAGTTCCACTTTTGCAGTCAGATGTGAGAAAACCCCACTTTATGTATGTTGTGTGTTCACATTCAATGTAGCATTATTATTGCTCGGTGGAAGCAATGCATGATGGAATATGTAGTCTTGAGAAATCGAGATTGCATCAGATTAAAAACAACTGTAGTATGTATTCTTATTACAATGCTGATGTTATAACAGGATGGCATATGCTGGGACTTTACAACTCCTTTATGCAGTTATAAAGCACCTAAAAAGGTAAACAGCAATTTCTAAATATTTTTAAGATAAGCTATGTGAGTAAGAACATATAACAAATATAAAGTAGGTGTTGTCTCAATTTGGCCTCCAAAGCGGAAATAGACTTTAGGTTTTCCATAAGAGACATCGGCATCCACTAGATCTTACTTGAAGAATGAATCTATGGAGAGAATACCCCATTTGTTAACAAATCAAATAGCAGGAAAAGAGGAAACCGGGTCAATATTGGTGATGAGTTCATTTGTTCAAACATCAGACCAATCAACAAATTGCAGCTTTTTAATTGAACTGCATACTGACAGATCTGTAAAATGTGCAGAGGCATGCCATTCCTGAGGTTAGGTTCACATCTAACCTCAGGAGTGGCATGACACCTCACCTCACACCTTTGCGATCCGTGACCGCAGGGCAATCGTGCACGAAATTGGGCGGATTGCCGAGCGGTCACGGGGTCGGCCCCCAGAGCCGAT